TTTGGATGTTAGAAAGGAGATATGGTTTACATACCCAATATAACAGTGTACCCCCAGCAGTGCCTGGAACAGTACCATGTAATCAAATATAGCAGTGTATCTGTAGCAAGACACATTCCACCAAGTGGAATAGAAGATAAATATCTTCCTGACAGTGCATTTAGTTTTCGTAGCAAATTGAGTTCAAGTGTTGCTGATAAATGAGTTACCAAAACAGTTTGGTTTTCAGGGATTTTTTTTTCGGGGGGGGGGAGGTTGGAATTGTGGATATGAAATGTTAAAAGTAGTAACACCTATAAATAAAATATAGGAAGTAAAATAGGTTGTTTTTGTTTTCGTCTTTGATGGGATGAAGGTTCTGGTTTACTCATGTATAATCTCAGATAATTATGACATCTTAAAGATGTCCTGTGGACAATGGGATAGGTGAACAAACTGGTTGGTACAGTTTAAAACAAACAATTATAGGGAAAATGTACTCTAGGGGAAATATGCTCTATTTGGTGCCAAAAATATGAGCCCAACTCAGAGAATGACTCAAGGAAACTTCATCTGTCAATAGTCACCAATGACCTACAATTCAGAGTCCTACCTGTCTCTGCTTCATGACATAAATTAATGCATTTGAGGCTCTTGCCATTGCTGGCATTGATTTGAGTTCAATGTTGCTATTAGCAGTACATTAATTATGTTAAAATTACTCAAATTACAGAAAATGAATTATTCTGATATTAACTAGATGCATAATTAGGTGATTGATAATACATCCTTCTCAATCAGATTTTCTAGTCATAAAAGATCTGTCATAATAAATGCATTTCTACATTTTATGAACCAGAGAACTGAATATGTTCTCAAGATGATTTGGGCATTGATCATTTGCAAAATATTAAATATACTAATTCTCTTTTGGAATATTAAATATACTAATTGGAATATTAAATATACTAATTCTCTTTTGGAAAAAAATTCCTTCTATCAGGAGTGAAAATTAAAAGCTTCTATGGAAGGCTTAATCATCCCATCAGAGTTTCCAATCTCTCAATCTCCCAGTCTAGTCTTTTTAGGGGCTGGGAGTCTGATTTCTAGAATTTGTCTCTTATATCTATTTCACAGTAAAAGAAAAATATATAAAAAATATATATAAAATGTTAACAGACTCTGTTAACAGACTACAAACCAACTGGCTTATGTTTACTCAAATAATTTTTTTTAACATCCCATCTAAGCACTATTAACATGCCATAAAATTTAGGACTTAGAACAGAGCTGGAAAGAATTATTTTTCTCTCAAACTTTCACTTGATAATTGTTACCATCAAAATCCCCTGAGAAAAACCCTTCCAGTTTTCCCTGTCCAAATATAGTACATGAGGTTGAAGGATCCATTTAAAATACACTAACGTGGGGCGCCTGGGTGGCTCAGTGGATTAAGCCACTGCCTTCAGCTCAGGTCATGATCTTAGGGTCCTGGGATAGAGCCCCGCATGGGACTCTCTGCTCAGCGGGGAGCCTGCTTCCCCCTCTCTCTCTGCCGGCCTCTCTGCCTACTTGTGACCTCTTTCTGTCAAATAAATAAAATTTAAAAAATAAATAAAATAAAATAAAATAAAATATGCTAACGTATGGTGAAGTTTCATGCAGTTCCTATGTTTGAGAGATTTAGTCTAGCATCAGGTCCTAGAGTCTCCAGCCCTAAATGTTTCATGAGGATTATAATTTTATATTTTTAAAAATGTACGGCTTGGTTTTCTTTCTTTCAAATATGTGTATGTACATGACGCAGTATGCTAATAGAAAAATCAGTCTTCAAAATTCCAATTCAATAGAATGCTGTAATTTGCAATGTAGGTTCCAGCCCATTTGTGGTCATAAAAAATCAATCCAGTGTGTTGAGACCAGAATTTTTTAAAATAACAGAGAAAATCCACATTGTGAGGTTAAATATTGTTTTGTAAGCCTTGTTACACACACACACACACACACACATATACTGCACTGAAGCAGTTTCTTAATGAGGATTGCAGTCCAAAAAGAAGTTTTAAAAATACTAATGTTGAAGTGTGCTTGCCAGTCAAAAATCTAGAGTGTTGCCAATGGAGGGATGATCCTGGGTTGCTGCCTCATAAAATATATTTTAAGCCAATATAATAAAAGATCAGAAGACTAAATTATGTTGTCCGTGTTGACGCAAAAATTAACTGTGGCTCTGAAATACCAAGGAAGGATTAAACATCTTAATCCACATGGCATCTTCAATACACATGTGGTCCACAGTAAGAGAAGAACGACATCCTCGTCATCTGGACAAGTTGAAATTAAGGTAAATCAGAGCTGGACAAAGAACAACGGACTATTCTGTACCCATAAAGATCTTACAAACTGTATGAAAGTCAAAAAGATAAACGTCTTATGATAAGTGAGATTAAGGGTGGTCAAAGAATAACACGGGCCTTGAGTCAAGTCTCTGGAATAATAATGCCACGTCTACCGCTAACTTGCTGGCTGAACTGCCGTTAGAATCTCTCTCTCAGCCTTGGTTTGTCACCAACTGATTGGACTGACTGAGTATCCAAAGTGAGAAGGGGATCTTGATAATACTAGGACAGAAGGAGATTCCTGATTTAAGGCCTCATTAACTTAATCTAGGGAAGTTTTTTGTTTTTTTGGTTTTTTTTTTTCTATTTTACAGATAGTTTAACAGAGGCACACTGTTACTCTAATGTAAACATGTTACATTTCTTAAGAGTAAAGATAGTGTAATAACATCTGGCTCAATAATCCATGAAGTTTAAATTAATACCCTAAGCTCGAGGAACAATGCCTACCTCTAATTATTAAATAGTATTTAACATATGTATTTCTCTGAATGGAGATAAGATTAGGAGGGCCAGATAGGCTCTTTTGACAAAAGCAGAAAGCATTGGTTGAAAATATCATTAATAATTTGGGGCGCCTGGGTGGCTCAGTCAGTAAGTGTCTGCCTTTGGCTCAGGTCATGATCCCGGGGTCCTGGATTCCAGCCCCACATTGGGCTCCCTGCTCAGGGGGAAGCCTGCTTCTCCCTCTCCCACTCCCTCTGCTTGTGTTCTCTCTCACTGTGTCTCTCTCTGTCAAATAAATAAATAAAATCTTTTTAAAAAATGTTAAAAAAATAATTACACCCTGTTTGTGTGGTTGACTTTTTACCTTTAATTGCACATTAAAAAAATAAATAAATAAAAATAAATAAATAAAACAAAAACAACAAGAGAGGGAGGCAAACCATAAGTTTTTTCTTAACTATGGAAAACAAATTGAGGGTTGCTGGAGGGGTGGGGGTGGGTGATGGGGTAACTGGGTGATGGGCATTAAGGAGGGCACATGATGTGATGAGTACTGGGTGTTATATATATAAGACTGATGAATCACTGAACTCTACCTCTGAAACTAATAATACCATATATGTTAATTAAATTGAATTTAAACAAAAAATTTAATAAAAACGATAAGCTACAGGATTTGCCTAAGACATTTTGTTAAATGTGCAATTTAAAACATTTTTTTAAATGAGCAAATATAGCAGTAAACAAATGTAGGCACTGGACTTGCCATTTATTATTAGAAATCTCTATGTAAAAAATGCTGTAGTTAAAGCAATATAAAAAGAAAGATGCTTGGTACAAATAAACTGTCAGAATGTTTAAACTAATATGTATGCTAGACTTCAGGTATTAAAAGCAAAAGTTAAATTTAAAAAATTCTAATTGTAGGGTATGACTTTAACCTCATGTCTTTTAGCCACAGACTCAAAGAAAATGTATACAGTAAAAGAAACAACATATTTTCTTACAACCAGAAACTCTCAAATGAAAATACAGCAACTTTCTTATTATCTAACAACAGAATTTGAATTTAAATGTCTTCATTATGTAGTATAACTTTATAGCAAGTTACATTGGCTTAATAACATTTTTCTAAAAATCAGAAAAATAGTTAACTCTATGGGGTTCTAAAAACAGAAATAGTTATTTGATGAGTTTGAAGTGTTTTTGATGAGTTTTGAGAGAGAAGGAAATAAAAGGCTAAGGTAAGGACCAGTTTCATCCTCATTTCTTAAGCTTCAAAAGCCTAATTAGGCAGGGAAAGGAATTTGGGCCTGGCACACCCAGGTTCAGTCGTGGCAGGATCCCGAAACAAAAGTTTTTCTGAACCTTCGAGTCATATGCCACGGGCAAACCAGAGCCGCAATATACAGGTCGTTAAGTCAACAGGTCCTTTAGCGAGATGGTGTGCGGTTGGTGAGTGGCAGTTGGATTTCTTCCTGCCACGAAGAAAATAACTCTTCTCGATCAAACCGGAAAGTGGGCGCAGCTCTGGTTTAGGGAGTGCACCCGGAAAAGTGTAGAGACCAGAAAGAAGGAGAGGGGGAGAGAGAGGGATGTCCGCGTCCCAACCACAGAGCGCTTTCCAAACCACTCGGAAGCCATTTAAATGGCTCAGGCGGCCGCGGTTTCCAGCCTAGGACTGTCTGGGGTCCGGCTGGGAAAGTTGCCTGGCAAAGCCATGCCCTTTCCCGTCGCGGACTTGCCCCCCCACCCCAACCCCCCCGCCCGCCCCGGCACAGGGACGAGAGGAGACCAGCAACCTGTTAGCACGCGTGGAAACGCGGCCGTCTCGCGCCTACCCAGCCCCTGAGACCCCCACTCTAAGACTCTCGCAGGGTCAAGCTGCGGACCACCGGGACTTCTGCCTGGGTCCGGCTCCTCGGGGGCCTCCCTACAGAGACTGCCAGGGGCGACAGGGCTACCCCCGGAGCACCACCTGCCCCGCCTCGGGCGCCGCTCTCGGCGTCTCGGGAGGGGCAACTGAAACACTGCTCTCGAGACCACCTCCAACCGGCCGCTGGGACCGTACCCCTCTCCCCACCACGTGAACCTCGGAGTCCGTCCTACCGCCTCCTCCGACGCTGCCCAGGGTCTACTGGCCCCCTCCCCCGGCCCGAGCGCCCGCCCGCTTACCTGGCGGGTGGGCACGGCAGGACGGCGGGAAGCAGCCGCCCGGCGGGCGCTGGACTTGGGCCGGGAGCCAGGTGCAGGTGGTGGCGGCGGCGGCGCCTCTGGTTGCTGTCGCTACAGTTGCCGCTCAGTCCAGCTCCTCCTCCGCCGCCGCCGCCTCCTGCCTTCCCGCTGGGCCTCCTGCGTTGCCAGGAGAGGCCGAACCGAGGCTCCGCTTCCTCTTGGAGTCTCCCAGGTGAGCTCCAGCCTGCGACGTCGGCAGGGGCGAGGCCCCCGTCCCGCGCCTGCGCGCCAGCCTCCTGCCCCGCCCAAGCCCTACCTGAGCGCTCCAGGTGAGGACAGAGCGCGCCGCGCGCTGGCTAGGGGCGCCGTCAGGGCGGAGCGCAGCCGCCGCACCCCTTCTGTCTCCGCAGACAGGGGGGCTGGTTCTCCAAGCGAGGCGCGCCTCCGCCTGTCTACATTTGAGGAGTCCTGCACTGACCTGGTGGCAGTGGTCGCCTTGTAACCAGAACTCAGTCTGGGTTCTTGGGGAACCAGAAGTCTGTGTTTCCCTCACACACTTCTGCCTTTCTCTGCGGTTCTCCAAAATGAAGGAGTGCGCTGCCCGGAGACTGGGGGGCCCAGTGCCCCCGAGAACCACCTCATGACGGCTGCAACTGTTAGCTCGTAAGGTTTCCTCCAGCAAGGTTCAGCAGCTTCTATCACCAGTTAGGTTCGTGAGCTATTGGGTGAGCTTCCTTCCCATGTACTAGTCTTGATTTCATCACTTGACTCACTTCGGCACCGCTAGTGGTTTCCGTTTCTGTAAGCGCGCGCTCTGGTAGGGGCGCCTCACGTCCAAAGGAGGAGCCTCCCTCTTCCAAAGAAGAGCCTCTGGTATTTGGCAGAGCCCCGCTAACTTGGGGCGCGCCACCCCTTCCTGGGTTGCTATCGGAAGGGAAACCAATTCCCAGACGAGAGAGAAAGCAGCGACAATAGAAAGAAACCTGCTGTCCTTGTTTGGAAAGACACTGACTTCCTGGAGAGGTTTTCCTTCTATTGTAGGTTTCCTTGAAAGCTCCCCATCCTTTGGGAGGGTGATAATGCAGACTCTAGGGAGACAGGGGGTTTTGCCACTGTTTTTAAAGACAGATTTTTTTCAACAGTATTTTTTCCTTTTATGATATTTACAAGCTTGTTTCGGCCGTCCTTCTGTTATGACAAACATTGACACACCCAAAATCAGGACTTAAAAATGACCTTTATACCTTCCTATAAACTCATTCACTATTTGGCTCTATCTTCAATGTATATAGAAATAGAAATAGAAAAATAGCCAAAAATGTTTTAGTAGCATGCTTAATTACATGATGGTAGGTTTTTCCATAAAGTTTAGCTGTGGTCTTCCTCCTGTATTTTGACACATACACTTATGGTTTCTTTTTATTGGTATATTAGTGTTATGTGACACCTAAAATTAAAATTTGAAAATACTGGTTAGTATAGTATCAATAGGTGTAACTTTAGAACTTGGCTAGTCTGACATTGGCTTTAGCATCTGCAATAATATTCCTTTTTTAAAAAAGATTTTATTTATTTATTTGAGAGAAAGAGATCACAAGTGGAGGAGAAAGGCAGAGGGAGAGGGACAAGCAGACTTGTGCTGAAGGGAACCTGCTGCAGGGCTCCATCCCAGGACTCTGAGATCAAGACCTGAGCCAAGACAGACACTTATCTGACTTGAGCTACCCAGGTGCCCCCTACCACAGCTCTTTCATACCACACCTGTGTATCAGCTTTAAAATTTCAGTTAGTTGCTTGTATTGTATTTGTTTTGCAAGCATCAAGGAACCTTTTTTGTGTTTGTGACATTTTAATATCACTACCCACAAACAATTTTTAGCTTTCCCTCTCTCCTCCCCTGCAAAAAGTTCAAGACCTACTTATATGTATAACCATACTAACTTGATAATATTTGTTCTTAGGTCCAGAACTGAAAATACCACCTACCTAAATCCACCTACCACCACCTCCTTTTTTTGAGGTTCTGCTGCTTTCTTTGTTGTTTGCCTCTAGATGGAGATTAGAGTCTCAGTCTTTGGGAAATTTGGGAGAAATCTTAAATGTATAACCACAGGATCTGTATCCCATGTCTTGCGTCACCCATCTCTGAATGAGGCAGGAACCAAAGATTATCAGTTTTGAGGTCCCACCAGGCAAAAACAACAATTTTGCTGACAAGAGCAGAACAGAGCAAATGGATATAGAATAGCAATTTGGAATCCAAGGACTGAGATGCACTGGCAGCAAGACAAGTAAAGTCAAGTAATAACTGGAAAAAGAAGCTAGGACAGACTACAAAAAGAGAGCAAGCAAATAGGACCAAAATGGTGCATGAAGGGTGAAAAGAGAACAGAGCAAATATAAGAATCAGAAGTTACTAAAAATTGCCAGTTTTACAATAGCGACAGATAATTTAAACAAGGAAAACAGTATTTTGGGGTCTGTCATACCTACCAGCATTTCATTCTGAAAGCAAAGTCTTAAAATTAATAAAAGTTTTTACTTAACAGTAAAATCAAAATGTTTCAGGCCCAGAAGAAAAGTATTATGCTACAATCTTTAATGCCCTAAATCTAATGAGCTAAAGAGTTTTTAGAAGTATCATCCTATTGGAGATTATGAAATAAAGAATTTGTGTTATAAAGGGGAAATTAGTATTTCTTTATGAAATAAAAATAAAACCCAGGAGTTTTAGTTTAGACATGCTTCTCAGAAACAAGCCTATTTCAATACTGCATGTTTGGCATGAAATGGCAGCTAAAATAGAAAATTAAGAAGATTTCACACAGGAAAGAAGAAACTTAGCTATCTACACACAGAGAGAGGGGAGAGAGACACAGAGAGAGAACTAGCCAAAAAAAAAAGAGCTTATTTATATAAATTTAAAATAATATTCACTATTTAATAATATTTGTTAACATTTAAATTAATTCCAAGACCAGTATCTAACACTTAGTAAGTACTCAATAAATATTTGTTAAATTAATAAGTTGATGCATAAGTACCACGAAAAAAACATTATGCATAATGTCTTAGGCCGAATACAAATTCAAAGAATGGTTTTACCAAATAATATGGAGAAATAATCTAAGGCAAGTAAGAGTAATAGATAAGAATTTGAGGGACAAGCATCTAATAACAACAGCTATCAGTTATCATGTACTGATATTTTAAAAGGCACTATGCAAAACAACTTACACTCCTACAAGTTACTTTACTTTTGGGCTTAAATTTCCTCTTCCCCAAAATATAATACTGGTACAAGGTGATCACCAAGTTCCTTTACACACTGATTCATGTAAACTCCATGATGAGATAATGGTCATGCAAAAAACATCCTCTGCATATAGGAATAGCAATTAATAGAAAACAAGGATGAAGGAATGGGAATTACTTAACTAAAATAGAAACTCAAATTCATAAAATCAGTTATAACATATAATGTAACTAGTTAAATTATTCAGATTCACTACGTCCAACTTTAAATGTTTTAGTTGTTAATTGTTTAGTTGTTGGTTATCCAGAGCTTAACAACTTTAGCTTGAAACTTACTGCCTTCCTGGCTTAGCCTTTAAAAACAAATTTGCCTTATGTGGAAACTGGAGCCTCCAGTCAGATCCCAAAGTCGAATTGAAAGCTTGGCTCAAAGACTAAACAGATTGAAATAATTTCTACTAAAAGAATTGAAAGGCTATTGATTTAAAAGGAGAGTAGTGTTGGTATCATAGTGAAGAGCCACAAATATGTGGGTATTTTTAATAACTATCCAGCATAATGCTACATTGTGTTTAAAATATTAAGAGTTAAAACAGTAAAAACATGAATAGATTATTTTTAGTATGAGCTTTTTTTGGCCAGTGTCTTATATGAAGATTGCTTATTAGGGTTTTTCCCCCCTAAGAATATCAATAGAATAACCATCTGTGACTTTCAAAGAAGTACAGATTTCTGCGAGTGTGCTTATTGACTTAAAAGGCAACAGAACTATGTCTTGTTAATCTTGTACCCTTAATGCTTGGCGCATAGTAGGTGCTCAATAAATATTTGATGAAATGGATTGAGTAGACTGCAGTGTTTCAAGCTTTTAAGCATTAGCATAAGAGCAATAAGAAATACCATGCTGAGTCAGGCTAATATTCAATCTAGCTAGCTCTAAATTCTGAAAGTGGCATCAAATGCTTTCTTCTGGGAAAAGATGGTGATAGTCTTGCATGATATTGACCTCAGATATGTACTCCAGGTGTCCCTGACTCACTCTTTCCTAAACCGATCTCTCTTTTTCTATAAAATGGCTTTTTATATTCTAAGTCAATTCATATTTATTTTAGAAAAATCAGAAAATACAGATAAAAGAAACCAGTTGGAAACACCCCAAATTCCTCCCATGTAGATGAATCAGTGCTAACTACCAGACCTGTTTCTACTGTTTATCTCTCCAGATACTTTTGAAAAACTAAGGAGAGTGGAATGGAAGATATAGAAGGAGACAGAGACATGTTTTTAAAATAAAAACTAGGTCATATTGGGATCTTGTTTTGTAGCCAGTGTTTTCTACTTAACATAGCTTTCCATGTCAATGAATTCATTTTTTTACAGCATTGTTTTTAATTATTGCATGGTTTCTTTTTGTATGAATGTATTTAATCAGTCACTTATTGGACAGTGAAGGTTGTTTTAAATTTTGCTGTTGCAAACAGTGCTGTGATGCTCACATTCTTTAGCGCTCACTATCTTCATCTGTGGAAACATTTACACTGCTTTTCTTCTGACTTTATTAAGCCACTTTGTATCAGCCACCCAAGAGCCTAAACAATAATGATATTAGAAGAATCGCATCACAAAGACAAATCATAGAAAGTATATTAATGATTTAGCACTACTTATTTGTAAAAATATTAATTCTAGTTACCAAAACTTTATGTAAAGCATGCTTATTATAATTAAAACCTTATCAGAAGGATGTTTGGCTGACTTAGTTGGAAGAAGGTGAGACTCTTGGTCTCAGAGTCATGAGTTCCAGTCCCACTTGGGTATAAAGATTATTTAAATAAATAAATATTTTTTAAAAAAC